GAAATTAGGCTTGATTGCAGTGTTAGATACGATACAGTCACAGCTGCACTACTGGGAGAATTACCCCTTTGATTCTGAACTTGTAGCATAACCAGAAGCTTTTGAAACTGCTCAGCAGTAATGCCAACATCAGCAATTTGACTCACACAAGCACTAGGACCCTGCTGTGAGTCCTGAGACTGTTTGCCTTTAGATTTATAACCTGGGATCTATCCAGGAGGGAAATCATGTTTTTTTGTAACATTTTTCAATGGTGTGTCCAAGCATTCCACAAAATGTGTACTTAGGCACATTTTTTCCTGAGTTGCTGTTGAATTTCTTCTTGTTGTAAGAACTTGAAGCTGCCACAATAGCCTGCTCTTCTGCATAATCACCTTGAGCATTTTGGACTGCATTTGACTGACTCAGATCATGGTTTTTGGAACTTATAGATCCTCTGAGTTTCCTTTCCATCTTTAGAGTCATGTTAAGGACCTTCTCCATGATTGGGATGGGATCCATGACTAGTATTCCAGATTTGACATTCTCATATTCATCATTAAGTCCCTCCAAAAAGCGAATTATCTGGTCTTCCTCCTTTTCCTTATAAATTTTACTCATAAGAGCACATGAACACCTTGGCATGCACTCACACTTTGGGATAAGCCTCATAGCGTTCATTTGCACCCATAAGGCATTACTTTTGGTAAAATATTCATTAATAGAGAGGTTACCTTGTGTGCATCTATAAATTTCATTCTGTAATTCTGCAATTCTATGAGCATCAACCTGAGAATACCTTTTCTTAAGAACATTCCAAATGTCCGCTGCAACTTCGAAATATATGACACCTTCTGTGATGGTAGGGCTGAGAGATTTGAAAATTCAAGAGCATACGATATTGTTACACCTCCTCCAAACAGCATATCTAGGATTGGATTCTCCCGGATTAGGGATGCTTTCATCGACGAAACCATATTTGTTCTTGACTTCGAGTGCAATCTTCATAGATCTACTCCAGGAAGCATAATTGACTTCTGATAGCACCGGGGAGACAAGAACAAGACTCGGATTCTCAGTTATGTGCAGATACATAGGATCATCGAAATCTTCTGCACGCTGAAGACGCCTGGATTCGTCGGAGCTTGATTCAAAGGAGCTGGATCAGTGAAGTTGTTGTCGTAGTTTCCGGTCCCCGCCACGACTGCCGCGACGTAACTCCGGTGACGCTCTGATAACATGATGGAAAACTCAATGCATATTGAGAGAGAATCAAGGTGGTGTGTTTAGAGCTCAGAGAGTTTGCATGGAGAACAAAGAATGATATATGATACAGACCATGCTTGCATAAAAGCTACTAAACATTCTAAAAGGGAAAGGAAGCAGTTATAACTGCCAGAAGGGGTGAAAGTACAAGAAAGTCCCTCATGGTGTTGAAGCTTGTTGAAACTGTCCTTAGCTAGTTAGTAAGCTGCATGAAGTTCATCAGTTGCGAGTTGGCGTTGATCCTTTGCGCTGATTTGCTAGTCATTGCGGTGCGGGCCAGACTTAGGCGCATCGTTGCGGAAAGTTATGCCGCGGCCAAGTGAAATTATCAACATTTAGACTCTTATCAGGTGCAAATTCCGCTAAACGCCTTGGTGCATTTTGGTGCGACCTTGGCAGGATTGACCGAGACGGTGCGGGCAAGTTTAGGTGCTGCTCGGTGCAGTACTTTGTGCAAACCTTGGCTTCGGGTTCCAGCCAGTTCAGCGATTAAGCAGATTGGATTTTGAAATTTGAATGCTTTTATCTAATTTGCTAGGCAGTTGGCCATGTAACCGTCATCCTTCTATTAATAGCGTGCCCATGGCATTTTGTAGGCAGTGTTGAGAGTTTTGGCCGTGAGTAGGCATGGTGAGCATGTGAGGGAAAATTATTGTGTGGACTAGGGTCCAAAACGACTGAATATTATGAGTAAGAATAATGTACTTTATTTAATAGAATAATGTATATTATGTGGTAGAATAATGTATTTTATGTGTTATAATAATGTACATTATATGTTAGAATAATGAAACTAGATAGTAAAATAATGTATTTTATGAATTAGAATAATATATATTATGCTTTCGAATAATGTACATTATGAGTTATAAAAATATAATGTATGTTGCAGTGGATCGCATAAAAAAAATAACGCAAAACAACGTCATTTTTATATTGTGGTCCACACAGCTATGTGCATGATGGCCCACACAATAATTATTGGTGTGTAAGTGCCTTGTATTATGAATATTGAATAAAGATGGGTCTTTGGATAGAAATACTCGTAGCTCGTGTGTATTTTCCTAAGTATCTCTATGTTGTTCCTAAATTGTCATGAGTGTGTGTGATTGTTTGAACCAGTCAACCAGAGCATAAGTTGGTTTGAGTCAGATGACTATCTCGGGCAGAGATAGGCCATACGACGCGAAATTTGTGAAGGAAAAATTAGCCTCGTAATACTAGATGAGTTAACAATTACAATTTAATCTTTTATTCAAACATTTGACTAGGTTTTTAAAATATTTTTGATTCACAACCTTTCCATGTACTCTGAATGTTATCTAAAATTGTAATATCATCTGCGAAACGCAAATAGTCTTTAGCATTGTCATAAACCATCCACTTAGAGAAACAATTGTTTCCCCATCTCCGAAGTTGTGAACAACAAATTGAAGAAGGTAATTCCCATGGAATTGTAATTGAACCTTGTTGGATAAGTCTAAGAATTTGTTTCCTACATTTATCACAAGGTGGTTGCTTGTTTGAACACATAGGTAAGTTTTGCACACTTTCAAGAACTCCTGGATCTTCTGCGTCAATTATAGCGTTTAAGAAATTGACTTTTCCCATTGTTATTACCAAGCCTAATATAATATAAATATTTAATATTTGCATTGCTTCTTTCTTTTTGTTTTTTTCTTATTCTTTTTTTTTTTTTTAAGAGAAGGGCTTAATTCATTAAATCAGAATGGAGCCTTTTTTCCTATTCTTTTACTTTTCATTTATACGTGTTTAGTAGAGTGGGATATATTTTAGAAATTTAATTACAATTTAATGTTACTAATAGAAATTTTAAAAACATGCATCATGCATATGAATAATTATGATACGTTATAACTATTATTATAAATAATATGAAAATTAATAAAATAAATTGAATACGTTATTGATTATTAAGATGAACAGTTATACATAGGTTTTCTTTAATAAATTAATAACATGTTAATGTTGTAATTTTGTGCCCGTTGGCATGTTAGCTCATAACCGGTGAGTTTGCAGGACAGATAGTTCCAAAATATAGTAAACAAAGAAAATAAATTGCATAGAATAATATGCAACAACAACCAAAAATAAATTGCATAGAAATAGTTATTTTAAGGGTAAAAATATCAATTGAACACTCAAGGAGGAAAAATTGCTACTTTTAAAATAGTTGAATGAGCAAATGTGGATGCATGAATAACTCAAAAAGGGATTGGGGTTCAACCTTTTGGAAGAATGAATAACTCAGGAAGAAAAAGTTCTATAATCCTATAATTTAGGAAAGAAAAGTATCAATTTTCTTTTAAAACACCAAAACAATATTATTTAGGATCGTGTCTAGGTGGACATTTTGGGTTTCGGTTCGGTTTAAAAAAAAAAAAAACCTTAAACCGTTCGGTTTAACATTAGAGTTCGGTTCGATTTGAAATGGTTCAATTTCGGTTCAGTTTGAAACGGTTCGATTTAAAATCTCCAAATTTCAACATTTCTTAATTTTTTGAACACACTATCAAACAATACATATTCACATAATCACATAATCCATATACAAAATCTAAATATTATATATATATATAAAATAGCAATTCAAAGTTCAAACATACTACTAAGTACTAATTGTGAGGTAAAAGAACAATTGCAACAAACAACAAAAGTACAAAGTAGAGAACAAGTTATAAAGAAATTAAATTAAAAATTTAAGAGAGATACTAGTAAGAATAGGAACTGAACGACGGAGCAGGCATAAGGGACTTAGAGTTACTTCTTTATTATTATTATTATTATTATTATTATTATTATTATTATTATTATTTTTGAAATAAAAGAGGTAATTCATTAATCATACGATCGATGAAAAGTTTACAATAAGATTGATAGAATGATAAAATATTCTTATAATCAGACATTGACACAAATTTTCAATGCTACACAAAACTTGAATCTCTGACTGTTTTTTAAGATTGAAGCTGAATTCGTTTGGAGAACCTGAAGCTTCTTTGATATTGTTAAAGATCTTGCTACCCAAGTCTAACTCTATTGCAGCTCTTCTGTCCATGGACAATATTTCCATTAATATGAACTGCATATCAAGGTTCAGATTTTCTTCGGTGCTGGATGAAGCAAACATACTCCATTATCAGAAAAATTGTTTCACCTCATGAAAAAAGAAGTCGCCAAATAAATTGTCCATTATTATTATTATTATTATTATTATTATTATTATTATTATTATTATTATTATTATTAAAACCAAACGGTATTCAATTCGGTTCGATTTTTATCAAACCGTTCGATTCGGTTCGATTTACAAGAATTTTGAACCGTTCGATTTATCGGTATATTATTTGTTTGGTTCGGTTATAATAAATCGAACTGAATTGCCACCCCTAATCGTGTCCATACATTTATTTTGCCATAATTCTACTTTCTCTATAGATATAAAATTGCATTCAGCACTTTCAGAAAAACAATCATTATTGTGTGAACCATGGTTCACACAAACTGTGTGAATTGTACTTTGTATACTATATAAAATAATGTACATATTAAAAATGTATTTTGTATTCAAGAAAAATATATTATTTAAATACTAAAAATATATATATTATTTTATATAGTATACATCCAATACATAAATAATATACTTTTAATATATTAAAATGTACTTTCTTTTACGATTCATACAACACTAGCTGGGTGGATAGTCCAAACAAATAATTTGCCCCCGACAAGAAGAAAAACATCCCATCGTTACACGATCGATCCAAACAAAAGCGAGCGAAGCCCAACGCCGGAAATCCCATCCTCCTCAATCTCGACGACTACCTAAACTCAACCCATCGACTAACAAGTAACAACAACGAAAAATCTATTCTCTTCCTCGATGCACTGAAGTTGAACGGGCAATTGTACAGTCTGTGGCGTACCTTTTTTGACGGTATTATTTCTATCTCATACTGTGGATTTCAAGCTAGGTTTTATAATTGTGCTATCTGAATCTGTAGTTTTGGTATTATTTCTATCTCATACTGTGGATTTCAAGCTAGGGTTTATCATTTTACTGTGTGAATCTGTACTTTTTTCTTTGACTCTTTGTATGATTGTTGGATTATTCATTGAGGTTTTTGTGAATTTTGCGTTTTAATATTGGTTCCCTAACTTAGCAGCCCATCACTGCTATGGACCTTTTAAAATTTTAATATTTCTCTTGAATTACAAATAAAGCTCTGTGGAATATTTGAATTTGATTAAAGTATGTTCTTGAATCTTGATATCATGAAAAATGTGTTAATGGTTAGTTGAATTAACATGCATTTCATCACTGCTTATACTAGACTCTGCTCTGAACAGGCTTAGCTTCAGGGTAATTGTTTTCTACCTAAGATGTTGTTATCAAGATTCAAGAGCAGTTGTATGATCTGATAATTGGATTTTATTATCAGATGTATAGGATGAGAAGGAAAGAATGTATAAAAAATGATTAAATAAGCTTCAAAGAGAAATTATATGAATTTTGCTAGGCCACTTTTTCTTTTGCTACTAACATTCTTACTGTTGACAACCATTATATCTTCTGAAATACAGCAGTTATGCACCCTTTTTTGTTAACAAATTTTAATAATACTAATTTCATTTTCACATGTTGAGTATCAATTCTTCAATGTTAATTTCATAAATAAATGGTGTTTGTAGATAATTTAAAGATGGAACACGCAAACACTTGAAAATATTTATAAAATTTGTTAATGATTATTGTGATGACTTGTTTAATCATGTTGCATTTGTGTGTGTGTTACTCAATGATATATATAAGTAATCACATTGTACTTTCATATTCATAAAACTCTCATAAGTGATTTTATGAAGTTGATAGTTAATAAGGACTTTAATGGAAGTTGTAGAATCACAGAATAGATTAAGCAAAGAAAATAGGAAATTTGCAGAGAATAGAAAAGAAGAAGGGAGTGTTTGAGAGAGAAAATACTCAAATAGTACTATATAGATAAATCCTGCAGTTGGAATCTAATCTTGCTGTACAGTCACTAGCCTATTTAATCAGACAACATCGTCTGATCTTGCAACTGCCTGCCTGCCCTCCAATGACTTCTTCTTCACACTACATTGTTTTAGTCCTAGTAGACAATTTCCAGCTAATTTAGTCCCTTCCTCCATTTCCTCATTATTTACTTCAGGCCTTCAGGGACTTGGGTTGTAACAGAACTTTCTACATTGATGAACATAACAATGATATGGGCATGTATAGTTGTCTATCACTCGGACAGACTTCCGATCAAAGTACCAATCTCTGAATAGTTCATCATATGTCTGATAATAACAAAGAACACATATGAATTAGTGACACTTTCATGTTTTCTAAAGAATGATTCTATTTAAAATTAGCATTCACATTTTTAAATTAAAGCAATTTTCTATCATCTGTATGTGGACCTTTTTAAATGGTTTAATATCAATATTGTGTATGTAGCCAGTAATGATATTACTTAATATTTATCTTCTTTTGTCATTAATAAAATAAAAAGCTGATGTATCTCATATACCTTTTTAGTCCCAGGTACAGGGAAATACCAAGAAGGGTCAAATAGCCTAGTGTGAGCAAATGGAGAGGTAATCAACAATCCATTCTTGGAGTTTTTACCTCCATTAGGCAAAACAGGTAGGAGCTCTGTCCTAAGATCTGGAATTATATAAACATATATTAATCAGTAATTAATTATCATAAAAACTTCATCAATGACTAATTAACTTTAGTTACTTTATGTAATTGAAATGTATGTATAGAATAAAAATGTACTTATCCTAACCTTGCATTGCCTTTAATTGATTTGAGGAGCAATTCCTCTGTTCAATGCAAGTGACAAAATCTTTTCCCAAAGTATACTCAATCTGCAATATGGAAATTTATAAATGATTTAGAATTAGGTTAGTGCATTTCACTAAAAAATTAAAAATGACACATTCTTGTGAAACGCGAATAGCATCAATATAATTATAAAATTATTAACACTAAATTATAATTATTAACACTAAATATAAATGTCCTTTAATAATAAATTAAACTAAACTCTATACCTTTATTAAATTGAAAAAGCAAAATTAAATACTCTTGAATATATAGATTAATACTCCACTTCTTTGGTGAGACTTGATCACTTAAATCAGAGAGAAGAATTAAGTAATTAAACTACTCATTTAGTCATTTATAAGTTATTTTTAATAAATTATAACTCATTTAGCTCAAGAGTATTTAATAAATTATAACTCATTCAGCTTTGGGTGTGGGAAAAAGATCAAACCTGTACTCGATCAAATTCAGACATGAAGAAGAAAATAGGCGTTTTAATGTTGGCCAACAAGTTTGGAGGGAAGAAACACTGCAAAAATTAAGCAGAGATTAAGCTTTTTTTTTTTTTTTTTTTTTTTTTTTTTTGGTAGTTAAATTCGAGAGTATTGCATGGGCATTAAACTATGAAGGCATTTAAGTTGAGAATTACCAATTCTGCACTTAATTTTGTAGTGCATGATTCAGGCAAAGCAGTTTTTGACCCCTGGTTAAACAAAAAGATATTAAAATGCTTGGAAGTTAGAAGTTATATATACTGAAGAAACTATGTAAGAAAATTACAAGAATGTAGTTAATATAGAAAGTTTGAATATGCTTTAATTTATTGTGGGATTGAGGATATGATTCAAGAGGAATACCTGTATCTTGGTCAAGGCTTCAAAGTAGGATAGGAATTGGTTTCCTTGGCTGTGGTTTTTACTGTTAAAAGTTGCACATGCAAAGTTTAATATATATCATCAAAGTAAGAATTCCTTTAATTAATAAGTACAAGATTTCATATGTATATAAGAATAAAATTAACTTACGCCAAGAAAAAATAACCACCATCAGACAAGCATTTTACTCGAGAAGCAGAGGGTATGAGACCTCTAAATCTGTCACAGTAAATAGCAGTAGCAACACCACCCGCTGAACTACCAGCTAATATGGCCTATATTTATTTAAAATTTCAAAATTAAATACAAAATTGTTTAGAAACTGTAATCCTGAACTTACCACTCACATAAACAAAAATGACATTATAAAATTGCAAAATAAATTAAATTCACATCAGTACACAATAAGTTACTTTTAAAAAACAGCATATATAAAGATTATTGACTTTTTAAAGCAAGTAATACTGTGATGTTAAACATTTTTGTGCTTTGTAAAATCAGAAATGCTCACATTTCTTGCATTTCCCATTCCAAGGCCTAGTAGCTCTTCCATTACAGCCTTGAAGATTCTTGCACCTCTTAAATAAATTGTATCGCCCTGAAAAAAACAAAATTTTATGAAGTGCAAGTGTAAACCTCTTAAATCATAAGTAGGAATTTAATATATTTATATGATTAATGTACAGTACAAATGAATTAATGAAAATACTAAGAAGCAGGTTCATACATTTTCATCAGTTATTTTAGAGTTGCTCGTAAACGATGATGCATCACAATACCTAACAACAACTCTATTCCAGTTGAAGAAGTCTGAACATTTTGTAGCACAAAGACATCTTAGTTAAAAACAAGGGACGGAGAAAATTAAAATGAAGTAATATACATATAGTTTTGACATACATACCAGGATTTTTTTGTTTTTCGTTGCTGAAAATATAACCAAAAGTTATTGGTTTAGGGTCTGTGCCAACTCCTTTATTTTTAATATAAGCGTTGCAATTAGCAAAATCACTACACCACCCTCCTCCCTGCAATCAAGGTATTAAAAATGAATTAAACATTTTGGATATATTCATAATCATGAAATAAATAATTAACGAGTGGAAGTCATGAAAAACATTTACGATACAAGATATATAATACTTGTACGTAGTAAATAATTATTTACAACTCAAATATTATATATCATACTTAAGTTTGAAGTCTTACAGGAAGATACACAATCCAATTTTTACTACCCTTGCCAAATCCTTTGGAGTAGTAGTAGGTTGCTGGATTTCCATGTAGGCAAACTAAAAAAGAAAAAATTGAAATGACGAATTTTCATTAGCTAATATATTTATGAACATTTATTTGTTTTTTTTTTAGGGTCTTAAAGAAGAATTACCGGCACCACGATCAATGGTAACTAGAGTTGGATTCACCAAACTATGGTTACCTGAAAAGCAATCTTATTAGCCATTACATAAATACAATATACACATGTATATTTATATGAGCCATGCCATCTATTGCTTACCATTGATACGACGAGCAAGAGAAGGAGCAAGGTCTGCAGATGCTGTAATTATTAAAAGAGATGAAAAAAGAAGACAAAACTAATGTTAAATATAGTATATAGACTAGTAAAAACATAAGAATCAAATTAATCATTAAATCCAACTTAAAATTCTTCTCTTATTTATGAAACAAAAATGTTGCAAAATAAAATAAATAGAAAATGAAAGAAACATATATACTTACAGCCTCCAGCCAAAACAACAACAACACTGATGAGTATTATGAATATCTTCATTTCCACTCCCTGTGAAAAATAAAAAAAAAAATTTGTGTTTGTAAGTTGGAGTGAAGGTGAAAATGGAAAAGGACATTTCACTGATTTTTTTTAAAAAAAAAACTTTGAAATTGAAAAGATGTACAAATCTATGGGGCTTCGTAAAAGTAGCTTCAATTGTCTATGCAGAGAAAGACTAAGAGAGAGACTGGATTGCAGATGTGAAGAAGGAAGATAAAGTGTAGAGGAGAGAGTGTGAGTTGGGGATGTGAAAGAGAGGTGTTAAGCTACACTATTAAAACTAGCTTCAATAGCCTATGCAGAGAGAGACTGAGAGGAGAGACTGAAATTTATGGATGTGAAAGAGAGGTGTTAAGAGCTACACTATTTATAGAGAAGCCAAGCACTTGAGGCTCAGCAATTTAACAAATAGTGTAGTAAATTCAATGGGAAGAAGAGCATTTATTGCTTGCAGCTGTCACCTAGTAGCTAGATATCATCATACTTTGAAGCTTTGATTTCTTTTTTTTTTTTTTTTTTTTTAAATCAATATATATATATATATATGATTATAACGACAGTTGATTAACTTTAGTTAATACAATTATATTAACAAATACAATGATACTATCTTTAAATTAATTTAGCGTACACAACAATTATAGGAAAGGACAGAGTGCATTTGTTGACTAATAGCATAATAGGACTATATGTTTTTTTAAAAAATAAAAATAAAATTCATATATGTCAAGCTATTAGAAATACATAAGGCATTATTTCTACTTTTTATTTTGAAACCATATTAAGTGATTTTCTTTGAGGTCGAATGCATATGATACAATAGTATCAATAGTACTTACTACTTAGTGTCATCAAAATTATTATATATGATACTATCAACACTAAACTAATAAAAACTCATAAAACATTTTTTTTAAATGGTAGAGTATGTATTTTAAATTAGAAAAAAAAAAAAAAAAAAAAAGCAACAGTATGTTTGTATATTGTGCTTTAATTAATTAGTGTACTTTTTTTTTTTTTTGGTATACATGAAATCAGTCATTTATGCCTTAGTACTCCAATTAACATTTTTTAAATCTTTTACTCTATTTATTATTTTTAATGGTTTTACGTTTAACTATTATGATTAATATATATATATATATATATATATATATATATATATATATATATATATATATATATATATATATATATATATATAAAATAGTAGAATGCATTTCACTATAAATCCAGTTTACAAAGATGTCAAAAACTAATAAGGTGAGTGTTAACCTAGGAAAAGATTGAATCCCTAGACTTGGGTTTAGGGTAGCCATGAACAATAAATGACTTTCGTACCATAATGCTTTGAGGACTCCCATCCATACGATTTTATTTTATTTTTTTATTTTTTTGTTTTTTTGAAAACTTTCCATACTACTTGTTTACATTGCATGTGCTCTCATTTACATGTCTTATAAAGTTTTGACAAATAGGGCATTTGCAAAAGGAGAACAACGAAAGTGGAATTTCACGTACCGCCTTGTAAAAAATATTCATTTTATAACTTAATCGATCATTTATAAAGTTAATGGTGCTATTTAATTTAAACATAATAAAGTAATCATAATATATTTTTTTTTCCTAAGTTTTTTTTATATGAATTAAAAAAAAAAAAAAAAAAAAAAAAAAAAAAAAAAAAAAAAAACTGGTTGGGATTTAGGGTAGTCATGAACAATAAATGAGTTTCGTACCTTAATGCTTTGAGGGTTCCCATCCATACGGTTTTTTTTTTTTTTTTTTTTTTTTTGAAAACTTTCCATACTAATTGTTAACACTGCATGTGCTCTCATTTACAGGTCTTCTAAAGTTTTGATAAATGTGACATTTGCGAAAGGAGAACAACAAAAATGGAATTTCACGTACTGCCTTGTAAAAAAGTATTCATTTTATAACTTAATCGTTCATTTATAAAGTTAATGTTGCTATTTAATTTAAACATAATAAATTAATCATAACAAATTTTTTTTATATTCCTAAGTTATTAAAACAAAAAAAAAAAAAAAAAAATCTATCACTACTCACTAGGGACTGCATTATTTTATTTTCCTAAAGTTACGTTAAGCTAACTATATAAAGAAAGATCTCAAGAAGGGTGGCCTCATGTATAAATATCAATAATTATTTTGCATTAATTTAAGCCATACATATATTCCCAATCAAGTTCTAACAGCTACCTACAAGCTTGGAAAGAGCGTAGAAGGCCTTACACTATACCTAATTTGATGTGGTTGAATGGTAAGTGGTAACCTATATTTAAGATTACAGATAAATGCAATATATATTGCTATTTTAGAAGGCATGTCGTCATAATAATTTTAATTCACTTCACCTTAAGAATATTTTAGTTTCTAACATTATTATTATTATTATTATTATTATTATTATTATTATTATTGAACATAATATGTAATACACGTTCGCTAAATAAAATGCTAAAAAAAGTTTACTGTTTCTCTTATTTTCACTAATTTTTTCAAAGACTTGATTATTTACAATGTAGTATTTGTTCTATTTCAACCCAAAGAATCAACACCCCATTACCGGGGTTTGATCTTATGATCAGCCATTTAAAATAGTAATAGAGATGTGATCACATTACATAGTATGTAGTCTCTACCAAAAAAAAATTACATAGTATGTAGTTGGTCCTTATTTCAACTAATTTAGTGGCAAAATCATGGCCAATGACATTGTGATCTAGTGGCATGAAGTGACTCTGTCAAATGGGGGAGGTAATGGGTTTGAGTCCAGTGAAGACAGTATTGGCTCTTTGTGTTTCAATAGGTTGAGAAAGTAACTATGAACAGATATTACATTGTAACAGAGGCAGTATAGCACTAAAAAAAAAAAAAAAGTGACAAATCATGAATATGTCATAATCAAGTTAACATATATAGACTATAGTTAAAGCTAAGGAGAGTTAGATGCCAATTAATCCTTAATTTATATAGAAACTATTTAAGGCTAGGGTAACTAGTTGCTAATATGTGTATACATAGTGCATGTATTCGGTAACATTGAAGCCTATTATAAAGGTTGCTTGCATGTATTCAAGTAACATTGAATTTATTGGTAAAGGGGATGGGGTAATGAAAATGCAAAAGGAGAAGGAAAGATGTAAATGGGCAATTTGAATTTATTGGTACGAGGGGATGGGTGTAATGAAAATAATGCAAAAGGAGAAGGAAAGTTGTAAATGTGCATGCTTCAGCTAAATAAGGAATGTTGTGGTAACCCATTGATTCAAAGCAAATTCTCTGTCCATTTTCAATTTTTTATTATTATTACAATTTGTCAAATAAAAAGCTTCCTAGTAGATAAAATAATGTAATTTTTTTATGGGTAAATTATTTCAATGTCACACTCCTTAGACTAACCACTAATACAAAACTAATTAACCATTTGAGATTATTGTAATAGACGTTAATTTTTCATCTTGTTTAAAACCAAATATCACTTTTTGCTCCCAAGTGCAACTTAATTCTTCAATTAAAAAAAATAAATAATAAATTATAGGTTTCTTCAAAAAAAAAAAATAAATAAATTATAGGTACTTGCTCTTCAATTTCAACTCTGATCCTTTGAAATATCAAGTTTTTGAGTGAAGAGAGAAATTTATAGCCACTATCCGAGGGTATGTACTGGTTAAGTCCTGCCTTGTGACCTTAGCAGGAAATGATTCACAGGGAGCTAAAACACCCTACGTTGTCCATAACTGATCAACTCAAACCAAAAAAGTCAATAAGTCGTAATAATCACAACTCGAGGATATGCACTAGGTAAATTCCACATTGTGACCCAAACTGGTAAACCAACTTATGTGGTCCTAACTCTTAAATGATCACCTCAAATTAAGAATGTTAATAAATCATTTTTATTGAAAATCAAACTTGTAACTTTATAGTTTTAATGCAATCATTCAAAACAAATCCTTTGAACCAAAATTAAACAACAATGATGCAGTGGATAGCCAATATACATATATAGGACCAATATAGATGAAATGTGCTTGAAGTAACTCGAAAACACAGTGGCTTCTAAGGTAGTGGATGAACATTCCAAACATCATTTAAAATATTTCTAGACTCACCGAACACATCCCTAGACATTGCATTTTACAGGATTAAGAACAAGTAAAATGAAAATTCAATTGAATGATTGATACAACTCCTATGAATGTAATTAGTTGGGTTATTTTTGTAAAACATTTTTACTTTATAAAATTATTATATTGATTTTTGTATCAAATGTTGGAGCGAAACTAACACTATTGTCTTACGTATTATTTTTATTATATTATCAAATGTAACCGCAATTGAATTGAAATGAAACAGCAATTGAATTGAAATGAAACTGTAGTTGTGTTGAAATGAAACTGCAGTGTATATAAAATGAAACTGAATAACAATTTTATATATTTGAGTGTATATTGTCCAACGAAACTGTAGTCCACAAAGCGTTTTGGACTATGGTCCACGGTATAATTTGCATGTGAAAAAAACCAATTTGACCAGCATTTTGCCTTTTAATTGAACTAGCCCGAAAAAATAATTCATAAACTTAGATTTGTATGTCTATTTTTTAAAGAAAAGGAAGGGTTGGAAGTTAGGATCAGTAAATGGCATGTAATAAATACCAACGAAAGAGATGGGGCAAACACACGTTTTTTTAATTATTACTGACTTTGTAACAATGCAGTATCTGTTTATATATATTTTTTCAACCTATTAAAACACAAAGAGTCAATAACGCCCCCACTAGAACTCTAACCAATGAACTCCCATACACATAGCCTTTTTTGTGGGTATTTTTTTTTTTGTTTCTTTTTTTTTTTTTTTGTTTTGTTTTGTTTTTTTTTTTTTTTTTGTTTTTGTTTTTGTTTTGTTTTTTTTTTTTTTTTTTTTTTTTTTTACCAACGGGCAGATAAGTACGTTCCCACGGTGGAAGGAATTGAATATTAAGGAAAAATGATAACTTTTTTCTTCTATCTTAATTATATATGTTTATAGTGTACGTTGTTTTCATATTAAATATTCATGTATTTTTATTTACCTTTCAATTATTTTAAAAGTTTCAATTTTGTCATTTCATGTTAAATAGATTTTTGTTTGGTTAAAAATAATGATAAAAAAAATATTTCAAATCATTTTCATTCCCTGACAAATTATTATTTATATGTGAAAATCAAATTAAATTTAGAAAAAAAATAACAAACACTATTTGTAAATATTATAATTATAATTTTAAACTAGTTTTTAATAACAAAATAAAGACTTAAACACAAATTTAACAATAATATTTTTTTTTTTACGTTTATTCTAATTTTCACATATAAATACCTAACAATGTTTTAAAGAATAAAAACAAATAAAACATCCATTTTCCTCATATTTTTAACCATCCAAAACCAA